TCCGAGGTGGCTAAGGAATCTGGTTAACTCTGGGATTGGGCGATTCCTCATCTCCTACACCTCTTTAATTGTACCCAATTTAGACTCGGCATTTCCATCACAGGAGGGTCGGCATCGGGCATACATACACTCTACAAGTCTGAGAAAATTTTCATCATTCATCTTGAACTTGTACTCTACATGGGACTGGACGACACCCCTGCTCACCAGGCCTCAGGAATCAGTATCTTATATATGTATTTTTAATGACTTAAACAGCCAACCAAACCTATGTACACAACGGGAGGAAAAACAATTTATTAGATGATGTAATTTTTTTGAAAAGAAAGATTTTTTTTCTTCCCTGCGCTACCCCCTCCCTCATTTTTCAAACGTTGATATTAGGAAACCAAAAACTGATCAGGAGATTTGCAATTTCTAACAAGTTGACCCTATGCTCAGTAGGCCACAGGATGCTTGGACTCCCCTGAGGTTGCAGGAAGTCAAGTTTGCTTATCTAGAGTCAATAAAAATGTCATTGATACAGAAGTAATCATACCCAGTTGCGCACTCCTTAATGGTTTTCAAAGTGAGTCTATACTTTTGTGAGTTACTCTCCTGCTCCAGCCTGCAGAGAGAAGCACTCCGAGACAACATTTTCTGCAACCTCTGGATTCTGAAAGGCTGGCCCTCCGCATCTCACCAGCCTGTGATGGTGAGAAAGATAGCTTTCCACCTAGAGCCTTCAGTGCTTACTCAGCAGACATCCTACTTAAACAGGCAGCTCCTGGAAACCCCCGCAGGAAGAGATGGGAAGTGCTCATGTAAGGCTCCAGGGTAAGGAATGTTTTTAAATTGCTATTGTTATTGTTGCCATCACTATTGTTGTTCAGTATTGTTTGAGTTGTCCACTTGGCTGGCCTCAGATTAGAAGCCTCTTGCTGGTTCTTCCTTGGGAAGCAGTGGCTTTTACTTCGGGTATTCAGTTCTTTGGAGTATTTGCTGATTCTTGCCATCCCTATGCAGCTCAGTGCTATTCCCAGTTAGGAAAGTTGGCAAGGTTGTTTGGTTGCCTAGGATTAAATCCCAGGACCCCTGGTAGTAGCTGGGTCCCTATACAGGTCTATTCTACTTTCTTTTAAGATTCCTGCTGGCTTCTCCCCACATCCTAGACTCAGGAGGTTGTTGTCACGAACAGGGCAGGAGACTTTGTGCAAGCAAGTTGAATTCTGCAGACTTTCCAGGTAGGTGCCAGATTCCACATTTTATTCTGAGGCCCAGACAGAAACTAGGTTTGAGGACAGTATGTTGCCAGCATAGACCCTGCAGAGCTCTAAGCTCTGGCCAAGACTGGTTAGAAAAGTTAGAAATACTGGCCCAGGCCTGGTGGGGTGTAGGCAGGTCTGGACTGAGGGTTGTGTCTCTGGGGTCCTTGGACTTTCTCAGCCAAGCAGTATTCACAGCTTGATGTAAATGTTCATAGACTCCCTCTCTCCAAGGGAAATAATCAGGACAATTCCTGTAAACAAGACTACAAAGCACACCCCCCGCTCTTCCGAAGCCCCCAGATGCTACTCTCTGGTCAGCCCTGTCTCCAGCATTTATTCTGATCGCAGATACTGACATTATAGGCTGTGGTCAGAGGCACTGGGGCATTATGTTTGGACTGTCTCTCAGAAAGTCATATTCGCCATCATCTGCCTACTTTCTCAGTGTTGGGGAGCTGTATGGAGGCGGTGCCAGTGCAGAAAGCTATTGATCTTTTGAAAATGGAACAGAACCTCAGCTCTCCCAGCTCTGTCAATACTCTGCCAAGATACTTTCCAGAGATTTGAGAGTTCCACAAACCTAAGCTGTTGGAATGGGGCATACCTTGAGATAAGGAAATCTCTTTCTCTCTCTCTCTCTCTTATACACACACACACACACACACACACACACACACACAGAGAGAGAGAGAGAGAGAGAGAGAGAGAGAGAGAGAGAGAGAGAGAGAGAAAGTATTGCTGGCCAGATTGACTTCACTGCAAGTCAGAACACACTCTGAACCCATTTTAAACCTTATTTCCCATTCTTTGGTTTAATTATCTGTGTGCCTGTGTGTGTGGGGGGGGGTGGGTGGGTGGAGGGAGTCAGAACCCAATACCCACAAGCTTACCTTTATTAAGGGCCAAATGTACCAAAGAGTAAAGTAGGAAAGGACCCTGGACTCAGGTTGAATTTGTGACTGCTCAGGGAGATGGGGCCCAGACGGCAAAGCCAATGGGAAGTATATAAACCAAGATTCTCTTAATCAGCGATCAAGGTGTGTATGTGTGTGCGGCAGGAGAGCAGATTTTTAATTTTACAAAAAGAAACGAAGGAAAAAGAAAAGAAAGGAAGAAGGAAAGGGTGGGTTATTGTACAAAGTAGACAAGTGAATATGGGAATAATGTATGTTTCCAACAGGAGTTCATGAATGCAGGCTCCTATTTGCGATGTGGAACCCTGGCAGGCTAAGCTAAACCCAAAGGGTCTGTTGCAGCCTGGGTATTCTTACCATTCAAGCCAGGAGCTGCCGCAATACTTACCGAATCGAATTCAGTTGAGTAAATTTTCCGGGGACAACTTCAGATAGTGGGCTAGCAGCTCTTCCAGGCTGAGCCCAGCAATGAGAAAGGCAGAAAAGGACACCACCCACCGCTAAAAATGGGGTCTTCGGAGTAGGGGGAGAGGAAGCTGCAAGGCTTGGGCATCTTTTCTTTTCCCTTCCTAATTCCAGAATCCTCAGGAATTAGGGAAAACAACCATTCCTAGAAGGGCTGACACCTACCTCCCCTTCCAGAACATTCTCAATTCTAACACTCTTTGGGCATAGGGAGCGAAGAGGACCCACCAGCAACAGAGACGCTCCGAACTTCAAGGAGAATGCATCGAGATAAATTATAAAATCAACGCCGAATTTTAAAATGTCTTTCTTTTTAAACAGAAGTAAAATGATTTCAGGAACCCAAGGCCGCAACTGGGATAGAGAGAGCGCTAAGATGAGCATAGCCTTGGGATTTGTCTTAGCCCTTTTGCTGTTTGCCGGCGGCACCAGGAGCCCAGTTCGGCCTAAGCCGACCCAGGCGACCCAGGAAGTGGCAGCTTTCTTGCCTGGGCCTTTAGACCCTAAGGACTGGAGGCCAGAAAGCAGAGAAAGGTTTCCAAGAATGACAGCAAGGCAAACCAGCTTTTCTACCACAGTTGAACTGACACAAGCCCAGGCTCCAGGTTTGGAAGTTCCAGGCCAGGAGTTAGGGATCTGACACTGTAGCATCAACTCTTCAGTGTTAGCCAGGCAAGAAGCTCAAGCTGGATTTTAGCTTGGTATTCTGGGGAGTCTTGCATGGCCAGAGTGTGTGTTTCTGCACTCTTAGACGTGGCCTGTCTCACCTTTCACTAGCCCAGGGTTCCCCTGCAGTCCCAATGATGCCAGGTCATGAGGGAGCAGAAGTGCTTGAAAACATTTTACATCGAATAGAATTCGCACCTGTCGGAGTAAAATGAGCAGGAGGCTCTCTCTTGAAGGGACATCACTGGCACTTGACTCTCAGCAAATAGAAAATTTAGAATTTCAGAGGAAGTTTTCGTTTTGTTTTGTTTTGTGTTTCCAGCCCTTTCTTAAAAGATAAGTCACTTAGAAACACTGACAAAATCGAAAGTGGAGAGGCAGAGGTGGGGGGGGGGCACTGAGAAGAATCTGCAGATTTTAGATGGAAATCAGCTGTGAGTTCAATCAGCCCAGGCACCTCCAAGATTTGAGGCCCCAGGACTGAAGAAAACAAGGAATTTTAGACATTTGCTTTAAGATTCGGCGATCTTGTGATTCCAGAGTTTAAGCAAGACTGTTAGGGACAGTGGATTAGGCACCTGGGAGTATTGTCTCCTAGACAGAAAAGTGAGGCGAGGAATCAAGAATCCGCCATTGCCTCCCACCATCCTCCAGCGTCTTGTCTCAAAGATGTACCAAGAGAGTTTCAGAGAAAACAAAGACAGGGGTCAGGCACGTTGAACTAAATGTTTATAAATTAAAGAAAAAAATACAGCGAATAGAGTCTCCAAAATTCACAAATCTTTTAAAGATAGCTCTAGTTGAGTGCACAGTGCCCTTAAAGAGGCGAAAAAGCTGCGAGGCTGATGAGACAGATAGTCTCAGAAACAAGCGAGGCACAGAGGGTGTGGGGGTTGAAGCAGAGGGACAGGAGAAGGTGGAGGAAGCCGCCGAAATGCAGGCCAGGGATATTCACATTGAATACAAAAATAATCGTTATTTGAATACAAACAACCAAAAAGTGCTACAAGTCTCAACCTTCTTTGAAAAAATTAGGAAAAAAAAAAAAGACAGGTTTCTGAAAGCGGGGCTTTCGAGCTGGAGGCCTCCCTGTGGGGGGGCCCCAGGCACTCTCCCTTTGGGTGTGGCCCTGAATTTATAGAAAGGGAAAGGATAGGGGATCCCTGGCCGGCCCGCTCGAAGGCTCCCTTTCTTACATTCAGCGTCCAGGAGGGCGCCCCAAGAGGGGTGGAGTGGAGGTCCCCCAAAATCAAACCCTTCGAGGCTCAAATCAACTCCTGGCCTGGAACTGTCAGGATTCTGTATTCCTTTGTCACAAATGTAATTTCCAAAAATTAAAGATATGTAGATACAGATCGGTAGCATGGATACCATGAACTAGTGTGGCCTTAGTGCACGAAGTGCCTGGCCTACCCGAGATTCTGAGGATTCAGGCTATGGGGTCTCCAGGAGTCCTCTCTGCTCTGGGCAAACACCATCCCCAGGCAGACACAATCCAAATCCAACGTTGCTGTGATAATAAATAGCGTCCCGAGGCTTGCCGAGGGGTGTGCAGAGTGCCAGGGGTCATAGGGCGCATCTGTTCAAAGCAGAATAAAGTCCCCTTCTCTGGGCAGTCTCAGTCCTGCAGCCAGGTCGCCCTGGGTAGAGGCAGTCCAGCAGGATTTCATTCTCCACCTGAGGCTCCCCACCACCACCACCAGAAGCGCTCGCCTACACTGAGTACAGTCTCTACACCTGTCCGCAGGGGTGCAAACTGGGGCGCGGGAATCATTCGTTGCCTCTCCGCAAAGCGGCTCACTGGGTACCAGCGGCGGCCGCGCATGTGGACAGCGCCCAGCCCGGGAGGCAGTAGTAAGGGTAGTAATAGGAGGGCTGCAGTGGCAGAAGAGAGGGGGGCCTCAACACCTCTCCCGGCAGATACTGTCTTTGGTCATCACGCACCAGCACCTTTACTGCCACTTTCTTGGCGGCGGGCGCTGAGGCGAGCAGGTCTGCGGCCATCTGCCTGCGTTTGGTCTTGTAGCGACGATTCTGAAACCAGATTTTGACCTGCGTCTCAGTGAGCTTCAGGGAAGCTGCCAGGTCTGCGCGCTCTGGCCCGGACAGGTAGCGTTGATGGTTAAAACGGCGCTCCAACTCGAAGACCTGGGCATGCGAGAAGGCTGCCCTAGAACGTTTCTTTCGAGGCTTGGGGGCTGCGGGCTCTTCCTCCTCCTCCATGCCGCCTGCCTGAGCGCCGCTAGCTCCGCTGCCGGCTGAGTTGCACAACCCAGGCACGCGTGCACCTCCGAGGCTAACGCCGTCGTCCTCGGCTCTTGGGCTGTGGTCGCCTGCAGATTCCGATTGGAAGAAACAGCAAGAACCTGTCAGACTCGCAGAAGTGAAGATAGCTCTCTATTGCAGTGGTTTCTCGGGGAGGACAGAAGCAAAACCCGCTTTGAGCCTACTGAAAGGGGAGCCTACTGAAAGACGTTCCAGAGGGTTGTTTCAGAACTCTGTTCCCTTCGCTTCTCAAATCTGTATCTCTTTTGGTGCTTGCCAGAGCAGTAGGACAACATCTCTCCCCCGAAGCCCCAGATTCCCTGCAGCAAAGTAGGAAGGATACTGAGAGTATCCAGTCCCCCCCACCCCCACCCCAGGATCTGAATCCTGGCTTTCTACACTATAGTTCAGTTTCTCAACTCCAGGCGGTACACCTCTGCACACCCACACATACACATCCGTTGGCTACATGAAAGAGAAAGATGGGGGCGGGGGAGGGCGCAGATCTTGAGGTCAGAGGTATAGAGTTCTCATTCCATAAGCCCAGAATAGCTGTCAGGGGTATGGCAACAGGATGCCACAGCAAGGCCTGGGGTACACTTGCCTCCCTTGCCTTTGCACGAAAAGAAAGGGTAGCGAATACCCTGATTTCTGCCTGGTCCAAAACCCCTTCTCCAGCCTCTTCTGGACTCCCCGCAGCCCAAGAGCAGAGAGGTCAAAGATGAGGCCTGCAGCAGAATGCACCCAAAAGAAGCCAGCTGCGGGGCTTTCAGATCAAGGAATGCATCCTACTGGATTGCATCGATAAACAGGCTGGACTCTCGAGGGACGACCTGGACCACACTTCCACACCATCCTCTGTCTCAGGTAATTGCTTGTTTTGTTTCTAGCTCCTAGGTACTCAGCCTAATGCTGCTCTATCTGTCCTGGGGTGAGGAAAGTTAAGCTGGCCCTTTTCAAAGACTTATTCTTACGCTGTCACAGGACTTGAAGTTCTGTCTTCCCCAGCATGGCTGGGCCAGGGAAAAGTTATGATCTGCCTTGGGTCCCGTCCCTGGTCCCCCTTTGCTAAGTGTAGGGATTTTAGATGGACACAGCGGAGGCACTGCAGAGGAACTCAACGCTCTGGGTGCAGGGTGCAGTAAACATTAGGAACCAGGACGCCCTGGTGTAAGAAGCTCGGTTGCTTAAGACTTCGGGCAGTGCGCGCCAACGTGCAGAACTTGGAAACTTAGTCAAAACTAAGCCCAGCAAGGCGCAGTGTCCCCACAGCAGGCCCACCCCGCCTTGAGTGTTTGACCTCTTAACCCAGCCTCTCAGCCCAGCCCTCTTTCCGGAGAAACCCCCGCAGCAGACCTGAGACACTGGCTGACATCTCGCTGTCGCTACGGACTGGGACTTCCTCCTCCAAGTCCTTGACGGCGGCATGCATCTCGCAGATCGGCTGGTCCAGGCCCAGGGTCACCCTGGTGCGGCAGGCTCCGCTGGCTCCCGGAACGTCGGCGCAGCGCCTCCTGCCCTCGTTCTCCTCACTCAGAGCAGAGTCCGAGTCCCAAGCTCCCGGGCTCTCCGCGCTCTGCCCCACAGCTGTTCTGGTTCGAATGGGAGACGCCAGCCGAGAGTCCTCAGCGCCCCCCAGTACACCCGCGTCGGTCTCCCCGAAGAGCCGCCAGCAGCAGACGGCGGGCGCCGCGGACACCGCCACTTCCGTGCCCCCGGGTGCCGGGCGCCCCTCCGGCGCAGCCAGCCCGCCGCGCTCTTCTTTCTTGTTGAGGATCGCCTGGATGGAGAAGGGCGTCAAGGTGCTGGCGCCGCGCACAGCCATCTGCGCCACGGATAGGAGCCGGCAGCCGGGCGGGCAGCTGGGTGGCGGGTACAGCTTCGAGCCTGACAGAGAGCGCAGGGCGATCGCAGCGCGAGTGAGAGCGGAGCGCCAGGCCCCTGCAAGCCCACTCCTGCGCAGCTCAGCAGCCCCCGCCCCCCTCAGTCCCAGGATCCCTGCCGACCCCTCACCCCCACCTAACAGGCCCACCTCGCTTGGACCCCCTCCCCCCTAATCGAGCGCCAGACTCTGTCTTCCCGCAGCTGGGCTAGGTTATCTCATCTCCCGCAGCTTCGGGGGCCAGCCGGGGTCTGTCCCAGCAGGGAAGGCCGGTGAGAATTGTCAAGGGTCCTCTGGGCGTCTGCAGTCGCCTCCAGAGCGCCGCGGCGGCGCACCGCCCAAGTCACTTTTTCTTTGCGCCTCTGTCTTCCCTGCCTGCAGGACTTCGCTCCTGGCGGGTCCTCCCTCTTCCCCCTCTGGGCTGGCTCTTCCGGAGCCCACCCCTCTGGCGCCCGCGGTGACAGCTGAGGCCCCTAAAATTGGAGAAGAACGGGACACTTTTTACCCTCTGCCCCGGTTTTATCTGTTTCTTCTCTTTCCTTCTCTTGGGTTCCACTGTACCCCCCCCAACCCGTCAGAGTGTCATTCCTCACCGCTGAGTGACAGCATCAGGCCACGCCCCTTCACTGGCTGTCCGGGGCTCTCCCGGCAGGGGATTGGCTGATTCCAATTAGGGGCCGTTGACTTTAAGGGACTCGGTTACGCACAATGAGTTGCTGAAGACAGGGTCTGAATTAACCCTTTCCTCCCTAAACCTGGTTCTCAGCATCCTTCAGCAATGGGGTTGGGGGTGGGGCGCTCATCTCGAAACCTCCGTTCTCATTTCAGCTCATCTAGCCACCTACCCCAGAGCTTTCCTGGAACAACGGATACTAATGCCAGTCCAAATCTTCCGGGAAAACTCAACGGAAAGCGTGTCCATATGTAAAGGGTAGTTTCTGTTCTCTAGGAAGGAGCCCAGAGTCAAAGCAAAAATCATCTTTTTTTCCTTTCTTAAGTTTCGCGGCTGTTTCTCTGCTAATGCTCTTTCCTGAAATAATCTCATAATTAAAACAACTCTATTATTTATTTTCTCTTTTTATTGTATTAGATTTCGGTAGATGACTTGAAAAGCTGAGGGGAAAACGTTAGTTAAGCCCCAAGACAAGCGAAGAATTAGAAGCACCTGGGAAGTCTTTCTGAGGAGCAGTCAACGCTGAATTTAATTGGACTTTGTTCAATGTTTTACATCAGGGAAAAAATTTAAAAAAACATTTAATGTGTTCTTTAAATATTGTGTTTCTTGTGTGTTGAGTAGAAATATATAAATTTTAAAGAGGCATTCTGGGGTCTACACAACAGCGAGATCCAGAAATGATAATATTTAGTGCCCTTAAAAAGACAAGAGCCACATCATTTTATTCACTAGAAGGAAGTAAATACAAGACATAAATATGGTGGTTATATCAAAATACACGTTACCTATTTACATAACTTTTTAATAAAACGTTTGTTCAAGTGATATATTTCACTGTTGAATAAACGATCAGAGGTTTAAAAGCATCCAATACACTTGAACCACTGAATGCATTCAAATAATTGTGATGTTGGTCTAATAAGCTGAGGAGTGTTTTTCATTGGTGTCATTAAAATAAGCAGTTTCCTCTGTCTGATTCTGCGCTGTAGGCAAGAAGTCTTTATAGATATTCCACCTGAGGAGGACAGTCAGAGCCTGTAGAAATCAGGGATGAGGTTGCCTATTCTCCTACAAAGATGCTGCGGAATACCTTGGGGTGAGGGGGTGGGGCTCCCTTGAAGAGGCTACGGCTCTTTATAGTTCTTCACAACTGTGCATGTTTTGAGGCAAACATTTAAATTTGCTGTTTGTATCTGGTAAGTGTAACGGCCAAGGCATGGGCTTCAGGCCAGAGAAAGATCCAACAAAATGCTCATGAGGTTTCAAAATGAAGCTTCCCACACCTCCTCCAATGTTTTTTTTCATGTTCTATTAAATTTGCTTTCTTCTTTTCTCCATCCCATGCTGGAGTGTTGAGGATACATATAGCTATTTTGTTTCAGGGAACCAGTGGAGGACAAAGGACAGCGATTGCCAGAAAAAAAAAAAAAAACAAAAAAAAAAAAACGAGGTTAGGCAGGTGTAGAGTATGTGCATCTGTGTGCACTTGCTCATGGTCATAAGGTTCGGTGGGGCAAGAATTGGTGAGTTCGCGGACCTAGTGACGGGCAAGGATGTCTGAGGGTAGAGTTAAGTTTGGGGGCCATATACATATACTATTTAGTTGGCAGAAATAACAGTTTAAAAAAAAACAACTCAAACCACAAGTTGCCACAGAGGTGGCAGATATTTTCGAAGGATACAGGGAAAGCCATTGTTTGGTGCTTTTAGAAGCTGTCAGCGCTGATTGTGTTTGCAAGAGAATAACGAAGTAGTTTCAACAGGCGTATCCAGTAAAGGCAGGCGAAGCACGCTCGCTCACAGAGGTTGACAGATTTTTAGGTTTAGTGAGTGACGGCAGGGCCAGGAGGAGGGTGTTTGGAGGAAGATAAACACATGGAGCTACAAACTGAGGAAGCTCCTAAAAAGAACAAGGTTTGGGAAGGAATAAAAAGGCGTTGGGAGCTATGCGCTCGGATGGCCAGGACGCACTGAAGTACCTTGAGTATATTCTGAGTTAAGGCCAGCTCAGGAGGTCAGCGCGGGCATGGAGATGAAGGGGGTCTGAAAGTGCCCCGCGCTAGCGGGTCCCCAGTCGAGGGCAACGAGGGTGATTGCCTCCTGGCCAGGCAGCCACCTTCAGAAACCCATGGTCATCATATGGCTACAGGCCTGTCGCTGGCTCTGGTCTCCGGCCTGGACTGGCCAGAACCATGTTTGCCACAAGATCTGTTTGCATCCCGAGCCGGTCTCCCGGGCCTCTTCCCCTGCGTCGCCCCCAACCCACCCCCCACCTCCCCGAGGTCCCACGCTTTCATAGACCTCTACCCCTTCTCCCACTCCATCCGTTCTTCCTGCAGCGATCTCCTCTCCAGGACCCCGGGCGGGTCCAGCACCTCTTCTGGTTTCCGCGCGCCCCCTACGTGCGGGCGCCCTTGTTCCCTTACGCATCTTGGGCCTAGTGTACTATGGACTACGGTGCGTCTCCCGGCATTGAGAACCGGAAAGCAGGAACGCCGCGGGGCCTGGCGTGGGAGAAGCCCCACCTTCAATCGGCCGGGAAAGGAGCAACCCCGGCTTCAATCGTTCGTGCCGAGCTTCTGCGCACAAGCATGCACGTCTGTGGCGCGTTAGCAGGCAGGGGACTCTTCTGGAGACCATGCTGCGGCGACGCCTGGGTGTCACCCGCGCCTCTCTTAACCCCAAGAGCAGAAGTTGCTCCCCCACCCCGCCCAGCGCAAGGGTGCAGGGCGCAGGCGAGGCTTGGTCCTACTCCCGCAGGCCACACTACGCAAATTCGGCTCTGTGACTCGGAAGGAGTGAAGTCACTTGCTCTCTCCAATTTCCATTCCTTTAAAACCGGGCTTAGAGCGGAACTCTCTAAGCTGGCTGTGAAGCTGCGGGAGCACAGGAGAAAGAACGGGATGAGTTTGCTGGCTAACCGCTCTGCGGATCGGCGGTGCTCATCTGCAGGAGCCCCGGGTGCTCTCCAGGCAGCTGCAGTACACCGGGGGTCCAGAGGCTGGGCTCCTCAGTGCCCAAGTCAATCCGCCCCCAGCAGAGCTTTTCACTCACAGCTTCTAGTTTATCTGACAGCAGAGGCAAACGGACCCAGGCCAGGGTGTGGTCAACACTCAAGAAGTCGGAAACCGCTTCATGCAAAGTAACCCCCCCCACAGCCCCTGGGGTGTTGTGATGAGCGGAAAATCACTCCTGCTTTACCCAGGAGAAGCAGACTCAAGGCTGTCAGTGGGTGACTCAATTAGGATTCAAAATTGTCTACTCAATGCCAACCAAGTTGAATCTCCCCAATCTAGCTGGTTGCTCCCCTTAACCTGCATTTTTGCATGTGTTTTTCCTCGCTAAACGTTTCCTTACTCGTTTCTGATGATGTATTCATTCTAAAAATAGCTTCTCTGAACCCAGAGAAGTCAAAGAAAGTACGCAAACCTAGTGATGTTCTGGAGGGTTGACAATGCAGCAGACACACTCAGGCCACTCAGTTGAAACTAAACCTAGTGAAGAAAAGATAATAATAATAATCAACGAACTTTGTGTGCTTACACATAGGAAGGGAAGGCAAGGTGGTAGAGGCCCACTAGGTTCAGAGATAAAATAGTGCTCTTCAGTCTGAGATGCAAAGAAACGACCCCAAGGAAAACACTTTCCCTCCAGGTTTAGCTTTCACAAGTGTGAAAAAGAAACCAGCGCTCAACTACCTGCACAGTGGAGGACGAGCGCCACCTAGTGAGCATCCTTCCTAGATGCCGAAGTACCCACAGGACAGGTATCTATCTACCTGACTTAAGGAGAGCCCCACAGAAAAGATCCATTTGTTGGCAAATTAATTTAGACTGCCCTGGTCTCTCGTTCAGTAGCGGAGACATTCTATTTTTAAAGTGATTCGAGACACGTCAACATCCTGCTTGAATACATACATATATTCAGAAACAAGAATTTTGAGATTCTGTAATTATTATTTTTTTTAATTTTAAAGAAACCTCAATGCCAATTTTCAAAATGGCTACACCATTTTACATTCCTACCTACAGAACATTAAAATTCGAATTTTCGTTGTTTTCTGTCTTTGTGATAGTAGCCATTCTAATGAGCAAGTCCTGGCAGAATGCTGTTACAGTGCTTTGCATTTCTTTAGGAATGGATGATGTGATTACTGCTCACATGTAATCTTGGAGAAATGCTTTTTTATGTTTTTGCTTCATTTGGAAGTGGGCTGTTACTTTGTGGCTGAATTCCTGAAGTTCTTTATACATTGTAGATACTGGCTGCTTTATAGGACAGGTGATTTGCCACCACCTTTTCCCATCCCATCTGTCAGCATTCTCCAAGGACCCAATGGATTGGATGGAGTTGCAAAGGGGAAGTAATC